GTTATTTCTCAGTCACAATATGTCACCTAGTCATAGAAGTATATGAAATTATGCGTGATTTTCAGGAATAGGAAACAGAATTTCTATGGGCTCAAAGGTAACAGCAGCATAGTGACAGAGGAAAATCAAGATCAGAAGTGAACCAGGTGCCACAGATGGTAAGAAATACATCTCTCAAAAAGTAATTTTAAATGAAAAATTCAAAAGCAATTTTTTTTTTTTTTTTTGTGGCAAAGCAAAAAGGTTTCTAACCAACGCCTATTTTTCATTTAGGCAAAGGCATTTTTCATTGAGAAAACATGTAGACTAAACCTAGTAAAACAAGAAAGAAGTTCAAGCTGCTGTTGGCTTTAGCAGTAATTACTGTAGGAGCAAGTACATAGTGCAAATGCAACTGCAAGCAGCAAGTGAGAGCTCAAAAGAGTTCAGAAATCTTGTTTGAGTGAGCTGAAGCAGCCTGCAAGATGAGTCAGCTGGCAGCTGAGGCAATTAGAGTAGCACAGCAAGGGGAAAGGAAAAGGAACAGAGAATGAAGAAACAACATTCCCACTGGAAAATTACTTCAGCAAGTGACAGAAACAAAGCTACCAAAAGTCAGCAGGTCTGCACTAAACCACTAGACAGTTACTAAAGAAGAGCTGTTGGGATACTGCATACCCTTTCTAAATGTTCCCTCTGCAAGAACTGCTGGAACCTGAAATCAGACTCATAATGCCTTATGTTTTATAAATACTGTTAGTCATCCTAATGAGATTTGCTGTTTTGCAAGACATCTGCAGCAGAAGCAGCTCGGCCACACACGAAGGAGGACGCTGCCTCACCTGTTACTCATTTATATTGAAAGAAACTGTTAACACCTTGACCACATTAACGCAGTAATGCTCCTGCAGACCAAAGTAGCTACTGATTATGTGTAACAAGACTGGGACACAAAGGGGGCCCAAATTCAAGATGATTGAAGTTCAACCCTTGGTAAAAAAAAAACCCAAGCAAACAAACAAACAAAAATCCCACCACAAATGTTCTCTAGGGAGCATGATGTGGGAGATAATTCTGTTTTCAAAACTTAGCCGAAATATGCTCAATTATAACCAAATACAAGAAGCTCATTGTTACACTAAGAGGCAGTACTGCACAAGCACGTAGTACCACAAATGGCTCCTGCAGTAAAGAGTACAAGAAGACTAAGGTGGGGCAAAATAAACACAGACCTGGTTTGACTATGTTTTCTAAAGAGCATTTTTGGACACAAACTGAGTTTTTAAGAGCACCCTTTCTCTCAGGATTGGAGACAAGGATACATCATGGCAAACTTTGCCTGACTGAGAAGAGCCAGAGCTCCCAACTGCAAAGACATTTCAGTGTTCATTTCTGGCTATGAGGTCTTAGTTTTGCTCGTGAAAGACTGACTTCTAGCCAAATTTGAGTAATTTTTTCCACTTTACAGGTTTGGCACTTTGAGCAGCTTGAACATACTTGCTTCAGCTAAACAAACTGATATATTCTCAGTGAAAAAGAAGCCCAGCAAAACATCCACAAGCCATTTTTCAGCTCTTTCAGACTTAGCTTGTCTAACATACCAGTTCTCAGATAATAATTACATTGTTTTCCTGTTCTTAAGTCTTATTTTGTTAACAACCAAATTCAGCTTCTCTGATGCCTGACAGTGTTCTCCTTATTCTGAGATCTTAATTATGTCTTTCTACATCAGCATTCCTCTGCTTACCAGTGTGTTCTGCCTTTCAGTTACACGCACTTCCAGCTGAGATGAATGAAATCAAGGAGGAACTGGATGCATGGATGGCAGGTTAATGCAACTTAAATTATTTTTATATTAATGTAATCACACCTGCTATATGAAACTTTTAATGAAGACGAGCAGATAACAGTTGCACGATATGGCCCACATACTTGTCTCAGTGTCTGCAGCTTGCTAGGAATTGCATTTCCACATAGTGGAGATGCCTACAGTTGTTTTAATGATGCCCACAATGGCTGATACAGTAGTCACACTCTGGGATGGATTCTCTGCATTTGTTCCTTTAATGAAAGCTGCCTGGGATTCAGTGAGGATGATATGACTCATACATTTTAATTCACTCCTACCCAAGCCACACTTTGTCACAGTGGTTGCTTCACAACTGCTATGGCCAAGGGCAAAATCACAGCAATTGGCTTGGCTTCCAGCATCACCTCTCCCAACACCACCAGCTTACCCTGAAGGGCAACAGGCTTCATAGTTGGCTCTCTCACCATCTTATCTGTTAGGTTCTAGAAACCACTGCAATGTGAAAAGGGGTGATAACAGTACTCTACCTGTAATAAAAAGTGCTGTTTTCTAAAGGACAACTACACTTCAACTGAAGCCCTTTTGGCAATACCAAGGGGGACATTCTTTACCCACATGACATCTGAGTGGCGATTTCTCTCTTGGAAGCCACCTCTGAAGCTCCTTCTTCCAGTAAACTGCAAGAGCAGCCAGATACCTATAGCAGCTGATTCAGAAATTAAATCAGATGATTTCTACAATTTATTTGTCCTCAAGAAGACTGTCTAGCTCTCATTCTTGCTCTACTTCTATTGTATGCTTTTGACCATTAAACAAGCTGAAGGCATTTCTGTGACAAACCACAATTTTCAGGATAGGGGAAGAAATGTGAGCCAGACCCTACACTTGTTGCATGTCAGTGGGAGCTCTGAGCAAAGCACCTAGGTAGGTTTCATCTCCTGCAGTATTATCCACTAAAGCTTTATGTAGCAACAAGCATTACATTTATATACAAATTTAGTTACAAGGGTAACGTAAACAAACCAGTTGAGGAAATCTCTCTTTAAAGTAAGATTGTGTATAAATTAAAACTGGCAACTCATTTTGGTTATTTGCTACTCATACTTCATCCTTTAATCACTTTACCAGACAGTTTCATTTTTGTACACAACACCCATTTTTATGAGAGTTATTTCATTCACACCGTTGCTTTTACAGTTTCTTGGCTTAGACTTCTTATATCCACAACTTCTAGCAACTCCCATTGCTTAACATTTTCTATTGCTTTTTTACACAAAAATTTGTATGAAGTCAGCCTCATCTGAGCAGTGCAAGAGAAGCCACTTATTACTAATACAAGTTTTCTTCTCAGAGTTTTAGCTTCAGAGCTGGGGGAGACTGTAAGTCTGTCCACTGACACTGTTTGCAAACTGATTCACTTGGGGTCTTCTGGGCCACTGCATGAACTTGTTTTTCCACATAAGACTGTTCTTAGCATGGAAGAGCATGACATTTTCACCTTTAATTCTGGGGTGCTTGCTCCTATTGTACTTTCAAAACTAGACCATTTATATCACCAGTACAAGGAATTCCTAATTTTATTTCAGTGAAAGTTCCAGAAGAACATTTGCAATGTTACAACCCTGCATGAGTATTCTTGTGGCCATGTATTTCAGTTGTGCTATTCTTACTTAGCAAATAGCATGGGTGATCTTGCAACCAGCAATTAAGTGGCAACACATACACGGTACAAACCTTTTCCAGGACAACCCTTATGTTCCCACAGTTCAGGGAAACCTTAATTAGCAGTTGCGATTTCAACTGCAATTTCCCTCATGTTGACAGTACTATGCTTCCAGATTACACAGACAGCAACAGAACAGGAGCTTGACTATATAGAGATGGAGGTGCCTAAGCCCTTGGCAAGAACAAGTCACAAGACCAATAAGCTTATGCCCTACAGCCAGAAAGTACCTAAGGTGCATCTCATCACTTCACACTTCAAGGACATCTGTAAGTGACAGGTGGTGGTCCAGAAAACCACGACATGGATTACTGCAGCAGAAATCCAAACATCTTACGTATATGGTTTCAGCAATATAAAGCAACACCAGAGTTTGAGCAGCCAGTACATCAACGTTATTCAATGAGAAAACAGAACTTAGTAGTGCTTTGAGCAAACACAGGCATGACAGTTATTCTTGTAGCAGATGAATAAAGGACAAAACCAGGGCAGATAGGACACTCCGCACAACTGTGACTAAGGTACAAAGTAATAGAACTTTCCTGTAAGAATGACAACAGAGATGAGGAGAACTGCTGTGATGACACCAGAGAGGAACAATAGAAAAGAGGGCTGCAATGGGAAATATAGGACTATGAATTTTGACAACTATCACCTTGGAAACCACATAAAAGCTTAAAGGTGAGGCTGTAGCAGAAAGTTTACTGCCATGCACTAAAAGACCTTTCCAGAAGATTAGTAATCCTGGACAAAGCTTGGTTCTGGCAGACAGACCTTAGGCTAGTCTGAAAAAGGAGAATGATCTCCTTTAGCAACTCTCCATCACAGACCTTACCAGACTCTGCAACAAATGCCAGACTTACACCTTGGCTTCTTTGACATAAAAGGTGGCATACATCTACATGGCTTTTTAAATTAAACAAAATCTGTACCAAAGCAAACAAGAAACCCTCTCCTGACCATGCGTATCACACTTGAGAGAAAACCACCAACCCATGACAGTCACATTACGTAGTGCCACTGCTCGGAAATATTCAAGATAACTACTGCAGTTACCAGGCCATGTAGAGAGCAGACCTATTTAAGCAAAATAATACAGATGCTGGTAATAACCTAGCTGTATTAGTATGAACTGTAAGTTCATACTGTAAGTTCAGTGTAAGTAGTGTGCTCTACTGAAGAATGGTGATTGCAGCATAAGAACTGACATGGTGCAAAAAACTGACACAGAACAGAAACACTATGTCTTGGTATTTATCAGCACAATACAGACTGTCCATTTCTTTTAATTATCTTTGGGTTGTTCTACAAAAAGGAACAGCAAACTTACATACAAACACCCTGGTTAAATGATAATGCTACCAAAACTCTCTGGCGCACTTTACCCTTTACATTTTCCAGACTGCACTGGCAGTAGAACTTCCAGATAAGTGTTCGAGAAGCTTCCCTCCTCTGTGGTCTTGTGATTTGAGATGCACACAGCACAGAGCACTTTTGAAGCGAGTCTTTAATATTTTAAGAGAGAATTCTTTATTCACAGAATGTACACCAACTCGTTTGAGCTATATGCAAAAATAAACCCTGAAATTCTAATCATGAAGATACGGGGGGGGGGAAGGCAGCACAGCAGTGTTCCAAGAGAATACACAATTCACAAGTTTAAAATTCAAGCACTCCCTATGCCTGGAGCTCTCTTAAAATATTAACAATCAAATCTCTTCGGTAAGTGTATGGGGTATACTTTATTCTGAACCAGTGCCTTGGGAACAGGTTACCACTTGGGGCATAAATTTTTATCCCTTGTTTGCCCATCAGACTACGAAAGATCCTGTTGCGGGACAGGATTTTATCATAGAACTCAACCCCACCTCTGGCGTAGTCTTTGGAAACAGTAGCTGCCCTTCTGTCAGCCTTGCAGTCTAGGTGATAGGTCACAGCGTCGTAAGAAATGTAATAGCACATCAGTCCAGCAGCCGCAGTTACGAGGTTACAGATGCCACGAAGTATCACAGGGCCACAAGACAAACCCAGGAGCAGCTTTATACCTCTCCCACAGAAAAATGTACCAGCTAAGCAAGTTGGAGCCACGGCTGCACTTGCTAAAGGGCTGCCGTTCTGCAAATACATAACTTCTCTGGCAAGGGCAAACTTCTGAGCTTCAAGAGAAAACGTCAGAGCTTCCTTCAAAGCAACTCCTTCATTGCTCTCCCAGTCTACTTCCTTGCCACTGATCACAACAACATGGTTGACTATTCCTTTTTTATCCTCAGCTGTGCTTTCAAAGTTAGGTGGGATGCCCACCAAAGAGCCTGCAGGGAACCAGGGGATTCCAGCACTCACAGGGTGGAAGCCAGAAGCTGCAAAGGCTCGATATGAGTCAGCAGACTTCACACCAGTATCTTCAAGGACATCCTGAAAGACACGACAGAGCCTCTGTGAAAGCTCAGCTGGCTGCCCCTCTGACCAGCACTCATGCAACAGTTTGAATGTCTGATCAGGAAACACATGATAGGAAAGGTTAGCACCAAACAGTCCCATGCAAGAAACAGCCAACAAAGTGATCTTGCGCTTCTTTAACCACACAGATGCCTTCTGCAGGAACCGCACTGCCATAGTCAAATCCTAACCTGTTTGTAACATAAAATCAGGAATTAAAGTGTGCAAAAAACACAAAACACCTTTACAGAGAAAGTGAAGCTCATTAATTTCTGAGCCTTGGAACATAGGATGATTGATACAAAGAATTAATTTCTCCCACTCCTCCAGTAAATCAATTTAGTGCAATAAAGACAACAATAAAGCCACCATACCTCCTCCTTCCCCCAGCAATCAATACACGTTCTGTATTTACCCAACATACTTGCCTAGTCCTTGCAAGCACAGTCCTACTGTTGCACTCCACTACAAAGACTACAGATATTAAAGCCAGAAACAGCCAATAATTAATCTCCACTAACCTCCTGTACAGTACAGTTCCAAAAAATTTAATCAGTAACATCGATACTAAATTTAGTTACTTAAGCTTGACTACAACTACCAAAAGAGGATCACATTTTGATTTGAAAATTTCAGGAGGTAGAACTTTCATTCAGTTTGTTTTAATGGATAGTCAACTCAGTATTAAAAAACCCCACAACCCCCCCCCCAAAAAAAAAAAAACATCACAAACACACACACACACACCCCTCCCAAAACCAGTATGTGCTTTTTCTAGATTTTTTGGGGGTTTGGGTTTTTTGCTTGTTTTTCCAGATTTCAACTTCCAGGCAGAGGCTGTAGCTTACTCATCAAAAAGCTATTTTCAGAAAGCAGCATGCTTTCAGTTGCTACTTTTAAAAAATTGTCTCTGAAATAATTTCTCTGACAAATAATATGTGCAACCCAGACCATAAACTGGAACAGAAATTGTTTCAGGGCAGACAACTAGGTTGTGACTCTTTAAATAAGCCAATAAACTTAAAAACTCCCAAACCTGCCAACTCCTTCAGTTCAAGAGTCCTCCTTCCCTTGGGGAGTATCAGTTCCTTTTATGGTCCAAGCCATATGATGTGCTCTGCTCAGGAAAGCTCCCCTCTCTTACAGAATTCCATTGGCTACAGAATTGTCCCCTGGAATAATGCTACTACACGTAGATAAAAGTGAACTAGGCACCTAAATCAACAGACATCAGGGAAAATTGGATGCCCCTGTTTCCATTTGCATCTTGTAACATCTGTTCTTGCAGGGCTTTAACACATGAGCTTCAGAGAATCTTGGTGCAGCTGTTGAAGACATTAGTCTTTCCAGCTGTCCTGACAGGAAGCTGAGGTGGCAGAAGAAAACCATGCTTCGATAAAACAACCAATGTCTTAGTGTAGAGCATTATCAAAGGTGGGTTTCAGTTATGCTTCTGGGCTTTGTATGCAGCAGCTGAAACACAGACATATGTTGTCTTCTTCCACTCACGCTGAGTAAGAACATCCCACAGAGGCGGAGAGTGGACAACTGGGGGCTCTAACATCATAAAACAGCACTGCGTGACATGCCAGGATACACCACCCATGATCAACAGCAAATGAGTATTAACCACAGGGAAACAAAAAGGGATTAAATTAAAGGCAATGTTTTAATGGTATATTATTACTTGTCCTTCCTGTGAAATAAAGCTCTTTCAGACAAATTCACTAGGGGAAGAATAATCTTGTTTAATGTTTATACTGCACTGCACACATACTGAGTGCTTAATAAAAACAGTGATGCATGTAAGTATACAATAATTTAATATGTATTTCTAAGTGTAATAAGTGGTGGTATTCTTGCATTCTGCTAAAGACTGGAGGTGGTGATTTGTCTGACAAAACTGCTTAAGAAAAACATACTAAAGAGCCAAGAGCTTGGGTGAAACCCAATTATGGGAGAAAACTTCCTTAATAATAGAGCTAAAAACCAGAAAATTGTAATAGTAAGCCCAAATGCCCTCTTTGCAGTTAACAATCTCAGCAAATCTGGTAGTCTAGACCCGCTTGAAAAGGTCATGCCATTTACAGTGGGGAGGCCAGCACTTGTAAAGAGATGATTATATGAAGCCTATCACTTGATCCACACGTGAAGGTGAGCTCATGTTAGAGAAAGCCCTCTCATTTGGGCTGCCCAACAGATCTTTTGAAGATTAGGAACACTGCAAGGAGAAAATTCAGCCTTCATGTTATGCCCACACCAGCACAGGGAAGGACAGACCACGCTGAAAACTAGTCTACACTCCCTTTTTGCATGACCAAATGGTGCTTGCCAAGCCCATGGAATGCTGAGTACTCCACCCGGTCAGGGACTTGGGATGCCAGGAAGCACACCTGAACAGGCAGGCAGCTGATGGGTGAACCACAGGAAAGCTGGGCAGGAAGTGCTGTTCGTATCTACAAACTTCTCCTGAACAGCCAGAACAGACCCCTTGCAACCCAGGCTATGTTCTTGACTGGATTGTGCCCAACAGTCCTGCCACACACCTAATGCAAGAATAAGTAGGAAATGCCAGGCAGTATTAATTTTCTCATGATAGTCAACACTCATGAAAGTAGCATGAAAATTACCCTCAATACCTTTTAGCATTTGTGCTTTCAAATCTTCCCCAAGGGCAAGCACAGACTCTCAGCTCCTGCAGATAATCCCGCTGCTGCCCTAACCGCATATGGCATCTTTATTTTTATCCATAAACTCTGCACAATTTATGTATAACAAGGCAACCAGAAGCTACAAGGCAAATTCCACAGACCATATCCTGCAAACTTAACCACTAGCTCCCATAAAGCCACAACAATGTTTATAAGGTGGTCTCCCCCAGATGCTGAAATATTTGCTTGTGGTGTTATGGGTACTTGCTGTCACTTCAGTCTGGGAATTCTAACAGCTAACGTTCAAAACGAGTGAATTTAAGCGTTTGAATAAATTTTTCTAACTGCATACAGATGAGGCGAAAGGGAAAGCCCAATTTACAGCATTAGCGGTCAGGAAGCAGAGTGAGGGCCGGACCCGCTTCCAGGCCTCAGGGTTTCAAGGCTCACTTAGCGAAAAATAAAAATATAAGGTGGGGTGGGGGGCCGTTTCACGCGACTCCCACACTGTCCCCGGGACCAGGCCGCGGGGTAGGCGTTCTCTGTCCTTCCCTTCCCCTTTTACCCCTCCTTGCTGGGGGCGCCGAGGGCCTGGGGCGCCTCGCCTCAGACCGGGCTCTCGCCCTCCTCCAACTTCTCCCACCGCCCCTACCTGCACCTACCGAGGCTCCCCGCGCCGCGGCCGAGGCGGAGCTCCGGCGGACTGACAGCCTCCCAGCTGCCGTGCGGCGGGCGGAAGGAGCAGGGGAAGGGGCGGGCCGCGGCTCCATGCTGGGGCTGTGTGTGTTGGGGTTGGGTGCCCCTCAGCGGGGCGATGTGATTATCAGCCTATCAGGGCTTGAACCCACCAGAGTGAGCGGTGGCCTCGGGCAAACCGGCGGTAGAGCTCTCCTTCCCTTTGGGAGGTCCGACCCGCTGCTCTCCTGGAGGCGAGGAGCAAGGGCGAGGGGTGCTCCCCTAGGGGCACCAGAGCAGCCGCTACGGCCCGGGGAAGGGGCTGTCTGCCAGGGTCATAAATCCATCCTGTGTCCTTGTGTTTCGTGCTGTAACCTCCTGTGTTTTTCCTGCAGAATACCTTACATACGTATTATTAACACAGCCCTCCCACTGCAGCACAGGAACGCTCACTGGGAAGGCAGTAAGTGGCGTGACTAGCATCCATCACAGGGGGGTTGTTTTCTCTGCCATCTCTAATAAGAAAATAACACATGCAGGGATTTTTGTTTGCTTTAGAGTTACGATATGCTGGAAACAGAAAATGGCCTGTGTAGTTTCTCAGTAATCCTGCCTGGATTTGTTCCACAGCCTGGGTGCTCTGGGAAGCTCTGCCCTTCGCTTGGCAGCGCTGGTTTGCTCTACAGCAGCATCCTTCGGCAAGCACTGGCCTCAGGGGGCATGGCTCTGATGAGTCCAGCCTTACCGCTAGGTTGTGCAGCCCTTGCAAAACAAGGTCAGAGAATAGCTTTTGGCCAGTTTAGGGTTTTGTTTGGATAGTGGATAGTAGAAGATCAGTTTTGCCTCATCCATAGGAGAGGCATGTATTGATGCTCAATGGTTGTTTTAAAACATCCCTTCACACCAGGCAGTCATGAGGTATCATTTTTTCACAATCCAAGTAGAAATAATGCTTTGTAATGGGTTGAGAAACAGTGGAATGGAAATAAAAGCAAGCCATGGTTATTATCTACTTAGATTAATTTTGACACATCTATATTTTTCTTCATAGCAGCCCCTGATTGCAGCCCCTCTTCATAGAACCCCTGATTGAGGCATTTCTTTCCAATAAAGGTTCAGTTCCTAGAAGTTTTGGCCTGAGATATGCTTTCACATGAAAGGATTAAGATTGCAAACTGAACTCTTGGTTTTTGCTCAAATTCAGGTATTCCGCCAGGATTTATGTGGACGTATCCTAGGGAGATGGCTAGGGAGATAATTCACCCTAACCTTTTCCTACTAGATTATCTCCTGCATTTTAGAAATGGTAGTGCTAAACAGGCCTGGATAGGCATAGCCAAGCATCCCTCCTTGTTGTGAACAGAAGCTGCTAATGACAGCCTTGGTTTTAACTTCCAGTAACAAAAGTGTTAATTGCTAAGAGAACACACTCCCTCATGAGAGGGCACAGGTCTGCCCTTATATTGTGGTTTTATGCAAGTCAAGGCAAATGAACTTTTTGCTGCCACCCAAAAGGAGAAGTCAGAGGAAAGATACCACCTTCCTCACCTCTCCGTCTCCCTCTGAACCACTTTTTGCCATATCTGGCATCCCTCAGACCCTCTTGTGCAGCTGCTTTTAACTCATTATCAGAAGAAAATATAGAAAATTATCTCTTTTTCCATTACTATCAGATTAGTAAACTGAATGGGATCATTGGAAAGTCTGAAAAGTAAAAGGAGAGGAGACCTTCATCTCCACTTTGTAACAGCTGAGAGCTGTTATAGCCATGGGTCTGCAGCCTCAGCATGTAGCTTTATCATCTGCCAAAACTTACCATTTGTAAGTTGGCATTGATATTTGTACTTCATGCAGATGTACAAGGAAAAAGCGCATGCGGGGGACAATGGACAACTGGAGACCAGACTCCTTGAAACCAAAATACAAAGTGTGATGGTACATTCTGAAAGTCTGAGAGTCACTGAGGCTTACCTGGTGAATATGGAGGGACAGTGGGATGTGTTTGTGCAGCCTGTCTTTCTGAAAGGTGCTTCTGCTTTCTGTAGCATCTAGAGATGTCTAAAAACCGATGGTTCCTTACACAAAAACTCAAGAGCCCAACACAGCATTGCACGTGCACTGTGGTTTCTCTTAAGAGCTTTATAATAAATATGATTGTGAAAAGTAGAAAACACAAGTTTACCAACTAACATGTCGGCATGATTCTGGTTTCAAAAGATAGCTGTTATAATAAGGAAGGTGAAGGAAGACTGAGTTGCACTCTTTCTGTTGCATAAGCGCACCGTTATAGTCGGGGATCAAGGGATATAGACCACTTTTAAATTAGCCTGCTAGGTGGTGCTGTAGGACATGCTCTAAGTTACCAATTCGAAAATACATTACAGCTCAGTCTGATGTTTTACCAGAAGACGTCTACCAGAAGATGTCTACCATCACCTGCCTCTCAAACTTACCATTTTATACATAAATTCTTTTTGCTAATTTAGCAAAAACGTTGATTTTTTAAGTGCAGAACCGAAAGTCATTGACTTCTCAATGATTTGTGTTGTCTCACAGTTTATTTTGATTATGTGATCTCCAAAGTAAACGTGGTCACAGTCAGTGAGTGTCCACCAACCTGAGATACATGCATTTCTTCTCCCAACCCCTTCTTCATCTGTGGATTCCATTTATCTACCCTTTTATGCAAGTTCAGGGGAACTCCAGCCTCCAGACATACGCTTTAATGAAGGGTAGCATGAAAAACCTTGCAGTTCTGGCCCGAGTTTATGCAGTATTGCATGTCCCAAACATTTCCTCATGTAGTTCAGTTTTTGCAGGTGTCAGGTGAAAAAAAACACTGCAGGATTCTGGGACTAGATAAATGCACTGTGTGAGTCTATGACCGTAGAGTAACATTGATATCAGGAAGAGAGAGATTATAAAGTCTTCAGGACAAGGATCTTCTGCTAATTATCTATGGAAGCAATCACGAAAAACAAGGGACTGGATACTGTAGATATTAGGGGTTTCTACAAGAGTGTTTGTCAAATTAAAGATATGAAGACAGCAAAGAATTTGATGAATAACAGAAGAAATTACTAGAGTGTGAAAAAAAGAAAAACCCTGAAGTGAGATATGTTGGTAGATCTGAGGAAAGTCTTGTTGTGAAGGAGGGCCATGACATGTCAGCCTGGTTTCTGGTGCAGGTGCCTGGGCCACTCTTCAGTGTTGCTGAGCATATGCTTCAGTAATGAGTTGCAAGCACATGGAGGAGCAGTGCAAGGCTCTTAAGCAAAACATACACTTAGAAAGTACCTGTATTGAGGTGACTCACAATGTGCTGGAAGTACTTCAAACACAGCAGAATGCTACAGACAGTGCACTGAAAACTGATGTATTAAGTGACCATTAAGGTTCTTCACAGGTGTAGAGAGGTCAAGCCTGTTCATACTTAAATGATAATCTTAGTGCCTTGAAGGGAAAGGAAAACTGGTGGCAAAATGGCTTTCCAGTTTGTTACTTTGAGCAAGTTGCACATTTACATATTGCAGATAATAGCAAAGTGACGATGGGATTGGAGTGTACAGTATTAAGCAAAAGCACAAAGGTGCAGCTATTGAGATCTCACCAGTTGTTGAGAAGGGAAGATACTGGCCAATATTGCCAGTATTTCTTTTCATGTCCTGTTCCCATTGCTCATCCCACAGTTCCACTCCACGTGGAGTCTACTGCTATTTAAAACAGCTTCAGGTCTATCTGCATTGTACAGACAGACCCTATACCATATTACATTTTAAACTGTGTTAATGTCTAGCTGTACTACAGACATCATTGTGATGCCATTTGGCAAAACCAGAGCAAAGCTCACAAACGTAAGTTCATTGTCTAGCCTGGGATTTCTTGCAAGTGCATAGAAAACCAAACTTGTAACCTAGACAGCTGTCAGTTGTCTACAACCAATATGGTCTTTATTTTCAGTAGCTCTGGTCCTGCAATTAGCTAGCTGTAGTTAAAGGAAGGTAGCTATAGTGAAATAAGATGTCACTTCTTCCTAATAGAGCTAATTAATGATATTTCAGAATTGGAAGCAGTAAGTCTTGGGAAAATAATGCTAATTATTAGAAGCAGGGCTATAATATTTAACAGGCTTAATCATACTGTTGAAGCTTTGTAAGTAATTTAATCATACTAAGCTCCTGATATGCTTACTGCAAAGGTAAGGATCATTGACAGCAAGCAGAAACTGGGACTGTTTCACTGAGTCAGTCCACGTACCTGAGCACTGCTCCATGGTGGGAGTATTTTGCAAGCACTATGACCTTCCAAGACTCACTGCAGATAAGGATGTATCTCCCCATATCATTAGCGGCTGTGGAAAGTACCAACCAAACGTAGGCTGTTCTGGTGGGAAAGTATCAGGGAGCACAGACTTTGTGGACCAGGTCTTTTGTTCCACAGCACAAAACAGAATCCAAACTTCAAAATGTTTATAACCCTGGTCCAGAGGTAGACTTGGTTCTGGCGCTTGCTGGCAAGACAGGAACACAAGGCACAACTGTATCCAGAGGATTTCTCTTTGGTGGAAATATCATGAAGATGATTATTAAATATTCCATTTTATGCATAGCTAGAATGATACATGGAACAAGACATACCTGGAACAAGACAACATGAAGGTCCTAGGAATAACTATGTATGAATCAGGCAGTAGTCTGTCATAAACACTAACTGATAGTGTTTATGCAGATGCAGTGCCCAAAGAACTGGAAATATGTGCTTTGCCTAAGAAAAGCAGAATGGTGGGTATGGTTAAATACTGGAGATGAAGTACAATTAATTTCTTTCACTTGTCCTAAACAGAGCATGGCTCTGTACATCAGACCTAGTACATGTCAGCTTTGCAGGCTGTCGAGCTGCAAGGACAGTATCTAAAAATCAGGCAGGCATCTTTTTAATTTGCTGAACTTTTCATGCACTCCGGCTGA